TCATTTCAGTAATAACGTTTCTGAATTTAAATGGCACACTGTAGCTCCTCCCACAGGCTGGTTGATACTTGAGGACCTTTCCCATGATGCACCTGGATGTCATTTTTCTCTGACCTGGGACGTGAAGGATGGAAGGTGAGGGTCTGGGCTCCCCCTCCTGGACTCCTCCCAGCCACCACAGCACCTCCACAGGCTCGGGGGGGCCGATGGCGGCACAGGTCAGGTTGAAGGGTATGCCGGCGAACATCGCCACATCCTGAGGCTCCTGGGTGAAGTGAGGAACTCCTGCAGGAAGAAGAGGAGGTGAACCTGGAGCATGATGGGAAACGTGAGGAGGAGGCGACCATGCTCAGGGTCCTCACCTTCCACTGTAATCCAGGCTCGCTCAGAGGAGAAGGTCAGGCCGTGGAACTCCACCTCACACCAGTACTGACCCGCATCCTGCTGCTGGACCGACTTCACACTGAAACAGACCACAACATCAGACCCAATAACAGTCACACAGCACCGGCCCAGCACAGAGCAAGGTTCATGAGAGCTTTGGATCCACGAGCTGAGGGCTCTGCTTCAAACATCTGCACCTCACGTAGCAGGAAGGGACCAAATTTGGACCAGAGAGTGGAGTGGTTGGTGTTACTGTGACGATAAGCAAATCAGGCCCATTGAATCTTTGTTTAGTCACTGAAACAGCCACAGCGCCATCATCAGGCCAGGTGCTGAATTTCAGCAGCATGCCCACTTTTTCCTCTTTGGGCGTCCTGTCAGATCACGGAGGAGGAAGCGCTCAGTCTGGAGTCAGAACACCTGCAGCCTGGAATCAAACCTAGGATCGCCTCCGCCAGATGTCAGTGGGCTTTTCATTTCACCTTTTAAAGGAGCGACACAGATGGAGGAGGTGGTGTTGGAAGGAGATCGAGTTCAAAGCAAACAGCAGCTCTGTGTTTACTGCAGGACGTCTGTTTAACCATCAAACAGCACAAACGGCGAGCTGCGGGCAGACTGCATGAAGTTTTTTACCACTTTAACATTCTCGCCACAACATCACAGCTAAGAGTTTAAAACGGTACCAGGACAGAAACATTACATCGTAAAATGACTCAACTCCAGCTTGTTTCTAACATAAACACACATTAAAGAAGATGGAGGAAGTGAACTGTCTGCCTCTGCAGACATTCAAACTGTTTAGGTCCATGACGGCGAACTCTATCCAGGAACAGGACATGTTCTGGATTCCACAGCTGGAACTTTGTCCTGCAAAACTGCTGGGCTGTACCCATCACAACTACAGATTTACCTGAAGATAGGAAACATAAATCAGAGTATAAACTGACGTTTGGTTGCTAGATGTCAGCTGTTGGAGCACGAACAGGTGAAAAAGTAGATTATTTCACCTTTGTTCACTGACACTCGCTGCTCGCCTCTTCCTATTTTACTAAGCTTCAGGTGTGATGATGTGACCGCGTCACATGTGAAAGCCTGAACATAAACCACTGAATCACCTGCTTGGAGCTTCACCTGTGCACAAGGACCACCTGAAGGAGGTCCAGAGGCATCAGGACTAAAGAGAACCCAGTACAGAACCCTGTGGAACTCCAGCTGCTTTCTTACAGTGGATTTAGCCTAAAAACTTTAATATTGTGTTTCTTCCCTTTTAGAAGGGAGACTGTGATGCTTCACACTGAAGCAATAACCTCCGGCTGAGTCAGCAGGAAGCAGCCGCAGAGTGAGCGCCGCTGGCTGATAATTAAACGAAGAGACAAACGTGGTTTGACAGTACGATGACATCACAGCACTCTGGCAGCCCCGCCCCCCAGTCTGAAAAGCACTTTCAGGAAATCAAACGAAACGTTAGTAGAAAAACATTGATCGACTGAGTGTTCTGCACCTGTGTGATGTCTCCCAGTGCTGCTCTCCCAGTGTGAGGAACACCTGATCTGTGCTGTACAGCTTCTCGCCATCCTTCATCCAGGTGATCTCCGGCTCCGTCACGCCTTCTACTGCACAGCCCAGCCGCACCTCGTTCCCCTGAGACACCGTCTGATTGGACGGATGCTTTGTGAACACCACACCTGCTGGAGTAGGAGGAGTCGGCTTGATCCATTCACCCAAGCTCTTCAGTCTGAATCATTTCTTTTGTCATACTGAAAGTTTAACACGTTTTCATCAGCAGATCTGTGTGTGTGTGTGTTTTCCACGCAGCAGTGTTTCATCTCAAACTTAACACACTTCTCTGAACTTTCTGAAACAGCCTCATCATCACTGACGTCCTCCATAAGAACTTCATTCAGAAGCTGCCTGAGAATCTATTATTTTATCTTCCTTCAGTCTCTCCCCGATCACTGATCAATAATCTGAACATTTAAAGGGTTCATGAAAATACAGGAGCTCAAACAGTTCAACTGCTTTTATTTTGAAAGTCTGACTGAAACCAATCAAACATCAGATCCAATCAGGGAGCAGCCAGGTGAAAGCCTTTCTATGCGCTGATGACATCACAAGGCAGCAGTCATCACTTCCTGGAAGGATGACGTAATGGTGCACTGGGCGAAGCATCAGTAAATACTAATCAATAACCAATACTAATCAATGCTCCGCCCCTGTGAGTAGACTAACTCTGTGGTTCAGTCTGACACACAAACAGGTGAGGCGCTACAGGTGTTCATGTGATCCTGAAACTTCGGGATTTAGACGTGATATCAATAAAAGAGTTTAGATTATTTTTTACTTGAAACCTGAGGACATGAACTCAGAGCTGTGCTGAGAAGTCTGATGATTTAACCTGAGGAACTCTGGTTATTCTGCAGTGTGTGCGCGCGCATGTTTACAGGTGAGTTGCAACACACCCGCAGTGACGTGGGTCCTGAATAAAATGACTGACAGCTTCACATCATGACTCGGGGACCATAAAAGCTTCCTGAAGCCCACGGCTTCAGTATCAGCCCGGAAAGCTGCACTTTGCCCCCTGACCTCTGTTTACGAGTCCCCACACCAAACTCCATTTAAGAACTGCCCTATATAATGTGTCTGCGAGCTGCTCCACGTGCTGTAAATGACTTCATGGCATGACCTCTTTAGTTTGTCACGAGCCTGAAGGTAAATCGTCGCGAACGCAACAAACCAGAAAGAACTCGGTTAAAATGTGAAGTTGTCACGGGTTCGGGTCAGAGCAGGGGTCTGTACGTTAGAAAAAAAGCGAACCAGCTTCAGATAAACGCTGCTTGGTGTGACTCGCGTTGCCGATTTACTGAGAGGCTCCATCACCTCGGAGCGTCAGGTGAGCCTAACCCTGTGAGTGTCTGACAGGCGGTAAAATCTTTAAATCTGACAATTTTCGGGCGGAGTTCGGCGGATGTAAAGCGGTCGCATTAGCTCCTGTGCTAACTGCCCACGACCCCCGGGACACTCACCGCTCCCACAGCTCCCCGCGGGGCTCCGCAGGGATAACACGACGATCCACAGCAGCAGCTTCATCTCCGCATCCTCCTCTTCCTCCGGCTCGGTCTGTCCGTCACGGGAGCCTCACTGCCCAGCGGACCAAGAGGAGGAGGAGTGACTGATGAAGATCATGAAAACAAAGGAGAATAGCTCGACACTCCGGGAAAACTTCTCCTCCGTTTGTTTTCCCACAAACTCCGACCCGCCAATTTACCCAGCGCGAGGTCGCGCGGGCCGGATGCGCCTTCACAATAAAAGTTACACGCTAAACTAAAATTTCATTATCATTAAATAGCAGGGTTATTATAGTTAAATAAAACTAAATATGAAAATAAAAACACATTCTAATTAACTAAAATAAATAATCTGTTTCATTAAATAGCAGTGTTATTATGATTAAATAAAACTGAACTAAAATTAAAAGTGACTGAAAACTGAGTCAAAACGGAATAAAAACTAATTAGGCACTACAATAACTCTGTTAAACACACCTTTTTTGCATTATTCTTACAGATGTTATTTAAAAACACCAGAATTACTTTTTCTTCAGTTTGGTTCATATTTTCTGCTTTTAATCTATAAATAATTTTTGTTTTACTTTGTTTCAGCCCATTCCATGTTTTCTTATATTTCGTTTAACATTTTTATTATGACACATTTTTCCATTTGTTTCGTTGTTGTTTTCTTTATTTCTTTTCTAGTAAATATTTATGGGCGTCATTATATTTAATCATATCAGTGGGATTCAAACCGGAAGTGCAGCTGACTTTCAGTTGTTTCACAGATGATACCGGTGGTGTGTGTGGGGTTTTGTTTTTTTTACTGCGCATGACCGCCACCTGCTGGTGTGACATCAGAGTTCAGGTAGTTTCCGCCTGATGCGGAGTACTCGGATACTTTGGAATAACGGCTTTAATCAATGATCAGTGTGTTTCAGTCGATTGATTTTGACAGTTCATTGCAATATTTTTGTTTCAGGTTTTTTTTTTTTTACCGTTTTCTTTGACATCATAGTTGCTAAATTATTTCAATTTCCTTTGGAAAAGTTTTCATGTCACTTTTAATTTTACTAATTTTATCAAATCACTTTTATTGTCACATCACATGTGCAGGTACATTGGTACAGCACATGTGAGTGAAATTCTTGTGTGCGAGCTTCACAAGCAACAGAGTTGTGCAAAATACAATAATGTAAACAAGCAAAATACAAGAATGGCTACATCTGAAACTAATAAATATATGTACAATATATAATAGTATATTTCCATTTAGTTTCATTAGTTTTACTTTTTCATCCAAATTTTATTCTCCTGTTAAAAAAAATAGTGACTTCAGTTTCACATTCATTTAATTTAATTTCATTACTCATACAGTGTTGGAACAGAACACATCACAGTAATCACATTACTGTTTTCAGTAATGTGATTACTGCATGGATGAGGTAATCACATTACAGTTACAGGCTCTTCAGTTATCTGTACGTACTCAGCTGGTTTTGGGTGGTGTGCAGGGGCAGGGCGATAGTGGAGCAGCTGTAGGAGTGTGGACGTGAAGAGATGGACACGGTAGCACCAAAGTAATATAATGACTTACTTTTCTTTAATGCAGTTGCTCCCTGGGGGAAGTAACGAGTCTGAATAAGCAGTTGTCCTCAGTGGAGGGTGAGAAGTGTTGCTGGGATGACTGTTACTGATTTACTGAGGCTCCCTGTTAAATCCTGAGTTTAAAATCCTGCTCCTCATATACAAGCTCAAATGATACAGGTGTGTAACGGAGGCCAGGGGTTCCATCACGCACCTGTATTTGTATTCATTTGAGTGATTGATATTTTAACAGCTAAATAAAAAAAAGAAACACATTTGTGGTAGTGATTCTTTATTAGGTCATTAGCTGGTATCTATGGCTACGTTCACACTGCAGGCGAAAGCGCATCCAATCCGACTTTTGTGACCCTCTGCGACCCATATCCGATCATGGTGTGACAGTGTGAACGGCACAAATCCGATATTTTCAAATCCGATCTGGGTCACTTTCGTATGTGGTCCTGATCCGATACATATCTGATGTTTTATAAAGCGGCTGCTGTTTGATGGTCATGTAGCATTAAATCCGTCTTTTACGTCACTGACACAAGACAGACGCCGATTATCAGCGCCGAGAAGACATCGCGAACGCTTCCTGGCCATCCAGTGTAGATGTCAGTGAAACTGTTGGGAAGAGAACGTTGGAGAAACGTGAACATTTTATTTGTACTGTATAACCTGCAGATTCTGACAGAAATCTTGAAGCACCGCTCCTCTAAAACAGCAATAAGGATCATTATTAGGACGTATGTAGATAACAAAATAACTTTATACCTTAAAGCAAAAATTGGGAAACGTAAAGTCCGAAGTCTTTATATTAAGGCCATCAGCAAACATACTGTTGCTCTGGGTCTAAACAGAGCGCGCTGTGTGTGACGTCTTGTTTTGCGCATGCGGGCCGCTTTGAGCGTTCACACTAGAGCGCATTTGCTGTCGCATTTTTTTGTAGTGTGAACGAGCAGACAAAAAAAATCGGATTTGATCCAAAAATCGGAATTGAGCATTAAGACCTGCAGAGTGAACGTAGCCTAAGTGAATACACAGAGTGAGTGGACATCATACTTGTGTCAGGAAGAAGAACCTGAGTTCTATCATTGGTCTGTAACCAAAATTCTTTGTGTTTTAAGAGCAGTGTGCTAACAGTACTCGCCTCCCTGGTGTTTTCCTTTGTAGCCCAATCACCTGCTCGTGAGCTCCTGGAGCGAACCAAAGTGCGAGTTAGGGGAGAGTTTTACTTTAAATAGTGTGGTTGACATCTATGTGTTATTGAATTAGTTATAGGACAAATATAAATATGTGTTTCATGTGTTGTATTGTGGTTTAATGTTTGTGGACGTTTCTGTTTTCATCTGGTTTGCGAACCCCAGACTTGGTCTGTTCCTATGGAGCGCCAGGACTGCCATAATGAATTAATTAAATAAACCATTAAATAATTAATTTAATGTGTCAATAATTAATTAAAATTGGAATTAATTAATTAAATATAGTTATAACACATGTAATTAATTAATTATTGACACAT